AAATACGCAGATCTCTCAGAATTCACAAGTGGTCTGTGTGTTTCTACAGAAAACCCGAAAACTACTAGAATAAGTGTTTTTCAGGGTCACAGCACACGAGGTCAATATACGAAAATAAACAGTATTTCTGCAGTCAAAATGCTCTACTCCTGAGCTGTACCCCCAATAAACTGTATTTCTACCTATTCACAACTGAAAAGTGAAATTGCCACAGTAGATTTTTAATAATAACACCAAGAGAAAACCAAGTTTCAAGAAACATGTCTCAGAAAGACATGTAAGGCCCCTGTGCTGGTAACCACAAAACCCCACTGAGGGAAACTAAATAAGGTTTAAATAAACGGAGATGTGCATGTTTATGGGCTGTAAGACACAATACTGTCATCATGGCATGAACCTAAAACCGTCTATAAATTTCGTACAGACCCCAGCAAAACGGCAGTAGGATACCAGGGCTTTGGCTGTTTTGTTTTTTAAATAATCAAACTGATTATAAAATGTATATGAAAATGCAGCAACAAATCTAAAAGAGTCATGTAATATTTGACCAAAAAAAAAAAAAGAAAGTTTAGAGAACTTACGCTCCTTGGATTTAAGAATGATTATAAAGTTACAATAATTAAGACAATAAAATATTACCCATATTCCTAACCGGGAATATATTCATCTAAATTCATCTTTAAATACATGATTCAAAATTCATTTTTCTTGGCTGGGTGAGGTGGCTTGCACCTGTAACCCCAGCTTTGGGAAGTGGAGGCAGGTGCATCGCTTGAACTCATAAGTTCAAGACAAGCCGGGGCAATATGGTGAAACCCTGTCTCTACAAAAAACATAAAAATTAGCTGGGCTTGGTGGTGTGCACCTGTAGCCTCAGCTACTCTGGAGGCTGAGATGGAAGGATTGCTTGAGCCTGGGAAGTGGAGGCTGCAATGAGCCAAGATCATGCCACTGCACTACAGAGTAGGTGACTGGAGTGAGACCCTGTTTCAAAAAAAGAATATGTGTGTGTGTATATATATATATAAAGCATCATTCCTATGTACCAATACTGTTTCTTCCCAGAGGAAAACATATATAATAAAAGGATCAGAGGCCAGGAGCAGTGGCTCACACATACAATCCCAAGCACTTTGGAAGGCCAAGATGGTAGGGTAACTTGAACCTATGAGTTCGAGACCAGCCTGAGCAACATGGCATGGCCCCATCTCTATCAAAAATACTTTAAAAAATTAACCAGACATGGTGGTATGCACCTGTAGTCCCAGCTACTTGGAAAGCTGAGGCGAGAAGATCGCTTGAACCCAGGAGCTCCAATATGCAGTGAACCAGGATCAGGCTACTGCCCAGCCTGAGCAACAGAGCGAGACCCGGTCACAAAAATGATTAAAACATAAAAAGCAGGATCAGGTCACAGATACCAAAACAGTTGCAGGTTTCAAGCTCACTCCCAGCTTACATATTGGTCAATTCCACTGAAACCCCAAAGGCATGGTGCTTAGATTGTATAATTCCATGTTAAAGAGTATTTTTGGTCATGGGTAGTTCAGCACCCATCTGAATATTAGGATAATTCATAGGAATTTCCCAGCAGGCATGAGGGGTGTGCATTCCAGCGGGGCAGGTGGCCTGAGAGCTTGGCATGAGTTTCTCACGTGCAGTAGCATCTTATTATAAGGGCTTCATAAACAGAGGTAGGCTTACAATGAGCCTTACAGGCTCAGAATCTTAACTGTGATGCCTAACTCCACCTACTTTCCAAGAGGGATGTCTATTTTATTTATTATAACCAGCCTAATGGTTAAGCATTTTCTTCGTCCATTTTTACAGTTCAGAAAATTGAAGTTCTGGACTAGAGAACTTTCCTAGGGTCTCACAGCAAGTAAGGCAAATGAACGCCAAAATGCAGGCCTTTTATACCAAATTCTGGGCTCCTTCCAGAACACAGCTTCCACTGCCCACAGTGCATAACCAGAAACACCCTGTTTGAATTATCAAAATATTAATTCCTAGAATTCGAACTCTGGGACACCGTTAGAAACTCAAACTCTCAAGATGTCATCTATCTTCCATGTGTGAAAATGGTCTTTCCCAACCCCAGAGCTTAAGGTCCCAGGGAAGGGGCATGTGACTCAGTCTCCCTGCATTCCCCACAGCGGGGCTGCGTTCCTGGGGGTGGTACAATTCAGCTTCCCAAGCTTGGTTAACCACCTTTTCCTCTTATTTCCATACTGTTAACACCACTGACTGTAGGAGGCCAGAAACCTCAGCCTATTTCCATGGAAATAATGAAGAAAATAACTAGAGATATACCCATAGCAGTTATTCATATGTGATCTTATTCATAGGTGATCATTGTTCTTTCACTAATGCCTTTCAGAACTCAAAGTGTGAGCCTGGGGTGACATTGTGAAAGGAATGACCCTAAGGCAAGATGCTTTAAGCCCTCTGTCACGCCCATGTAAGGGCTGCTGGAGGGCACCTCGGCTGGGCAGCAGCGCCAGGGCTGGGAAAGCGACCCAGTTTAGCCAGCTAGGGAAGGAGGCATCCAAGATGGCCGAGATGTCTCCTTCCCCGGAGGAGTTAGGAGAAAACTCTGCTCCTCCAAGCTCTTTTGGTAGGCCTGATGCCTGTCAGGGAGGCCAGCAGACATCCCAGGGCTGAACTGTCTCTCTGTGATACTGTGCTTCAGTGGTCACATCCCATGTCCACTCTCGTGTTCCATTTCTGCACCTGGTTCCTTTTTTCTTAGAAGAGACCATCAGTAAAAATAATATAAATTTTAATGTCTTTGGTCTTTCTTGACAAGTATGGAAAAGCGCTGACGCATTATGCTCCTTACCTCATGTCAGCTACTAGAAAGCCTTGGGCCCCTGCCTATGTGACACGTGATGTACTTGACCTTATAACCGACCGCCAGTGCCATGCCCTATCTACCCTGTCCCCAGCTTTGTACTCAGTAAAAGTCAGAGTGTGCGGACACGGGGCCACTGCTGGACTCCAAGCTTTGGTCAGCAGTGGACCCCTGGGCCCAGACTCTCTTTTCTCTATCTCTGGGTCTTATGTCTTTTATTTCTACAATTTCTTATCTCCACGCTAGCAGAGAGGGGCTCACAGGACCCTGTAGGGCTGGATCCTGCAACTGACGTCCACAAAGGGGCCAGCACTGGAAAAGACCCTGAGAATACAAAACCCGGGCAGTCAGGGTCGTGGAGATGGACAAGTGTTGAGTGAGGTGACTGTGCAGAGGGGATCACAGGTGGCACTGCCTGCCCTTCCCCCTTCCCAAATGTCCCCCAGCCCTCCTCCAGCAGAACCAGCACCTTTGCAATTAGAAACCACAGTCCAGATGGCTCCAACTAGTTCTATTTCCCAACACTACCTGGACACTGGGGTTTATTCAAAATACAATTTCCCAAAATGCATCAATAAATCCGATTTAGGGGTATTTCTACATGAGTCGTAGTAAAACCAAGAAAAGCTTTTAATGATAACTTACAACAAGCACATCCCACTTGGAAAGCAGCCACAAATGACGCTAAAAAGCCAGCTAGTTACACTTCAGTTCTGGGTTTATACTCAATAAAGCAAAAACAAAGATAAAAACAAACAGCACTTTGTCCTACAACTGTTAGGTGGAGCCTGAAAGAGTCAGAGTAGGACAAGCAGTAAAGTTGGCAACACTGACTTGGGAAAAACTTTGGCTACGCCTGTGGGCGGTTTCCAACCCGAGCCTTTTAACTTCACCATTAATGTCCATGTTGCTGGTATACTCATAATGCAGCTGTCACGCTCCTGCGTAACTAACTGGCCACCTATAACTTGCAATGCCAAGGTATACTTGGAACACTAAGGAATACAAGGTTTGGAATGCTAAGCTGGAAGTAGGGGCAACATTAAGGATTCGGCCACTAGATGGAGAAATTGTCCCAATCTGGCACCACTGCAGTTCTAAACAGAACTAAAGCAAAACGCTTTTCAGAAAACGCAGCCAGAAAGATATTTACAAAAGTTCTTTTCAAAGTACTATGGTAACTGCACTTTACATTGATAACTTTGTATCAGTTTAGTTCATGTAGGTACTTGAGCTTGAATCGGGTGGACATCCCACATTCATGCTGATGACGTCAGTAAGTTCTAGGTTCCGTCTTTATCCACGTCACCCAAGATTCAGTGTTGAGCAAATCTCTTCGAAAGTATTTACCATCTTTTAAATTGTTGTGGCAATTAGCACTAAGTCTATAAAATTTCACTTCCAGTTTTGCAACCAACTAGATACAGTATTAAAGTCTGTATTAGAGTAAAGTGCGTTTTGGGGATAAGGTCTTTACCACCAGCTGTAATAAACAGTGAATACCCACAAAGGGAGCGGGTTGACTAATAACCGGACCAATCACGTTTTGCATATTGCCTTTATTTTGCAGAAAATGCTTTCTGCTGATTGTCTTTGGCTATTTTGTCAAAAGAAAAATATGAAACAGTTACAGTTTAACAACACAAGAAGTTGTCTACATATGCTCAAAATACACACATTCTAGCGGGCAGAGCAGTCAAATTTCCAATTCAGCTAAAACCTGCTGCCCTCAACTATGATTTTATTCTGTCCTTAACAGCTCAACTCTAACTACTTGAAAGCAACAAGGAAAAAGATTAAAAGTGTGCTTTTTATCTCACTAAAGAAGGGCCGGTGGAGTTTACAAATTCTGGTGCGCCAAAGTTGCCAATACATCGTATGAGAACAAATCAAAGAGTTTCTGGACCCTGGCAAATGTTTTTGCCTGTGAATCAGGTTGGCCGTCGGTGGATTCACCTGTATACCACTGGGGACCGCACCGCTGCTGCCGGTGTGAGCGGGTGCTGGGGCTCTGGGAACAGCGCGGCTGTGCTCCTCCTCCGCTTTGAAAAGAAAGTTAGTGAGGCTGCATTTCCTTCCTTAATCCGCGAGACTGCCACTGTGCACCTAGTAGGTCACTCCAGTCACCACTGGCTGCCACGACAAAGTCCCTGCATCCTCCAGGACCTGGGCCTGGCTGCCTCACATGGAAGGCGGCGACACAGGTGTCCATGAGGCTATGAGGCGGCCTTGGGCGGCGTCGTACTGGCTGTCCGCGATGTCTGTGGCCGCCGCCGCCCCTTCGTACAGTGGGGATCCAGAGGAAGAGGGCACCGGGACCGGATGGGTGAGGGGTGCGTAGTGCGCGGGGGAGCCCCGGAAGAACTGGGTCCCCAGCCCGTTGGACACGGCTGCTGCCTGGGAGCCCGGGGTGACGGCGCCGTTGCTCACGGACCACAGGCTGGGGTACTGACTGCAAGAGAAAGACCCCAGTGAGCAGGGCCTGGGCAGAGGCTGCGGCCGGGCAAGGAGGGGCACCACACCAGGAATCCCATTCGTTCTGAGCGAATGCCTGGTATGACAGTGTTTTTCTTTCTAACAGGTCATTTTCTCCAAATTACTAAGTGACTCACAAGCACATTCAGTGATGTATAGAAGTTATTGTCATATCTCTTAATAAGAAACAAAATCACTGGGAAGCTGACCAAAAAGATTATCCACATATTCAGAGCTCACGGAACAGCGCTGTTAAGTTTCACTGAGAAAGACTCAGACAGGCCTGGCACAGTCGCTCACGCCTGTAATCCCAGTACTGGGGAGGCCCAGGCAGGTGGATCACCTGAGGTCAGAGGTTTGAGACCACCAACGTGGTGAAACCCCGTCTCTACTAAATACGAAAAATAAGCTGCCTCTCCCTGTCTCTACTAAATATTAGCTGGATGTGGTAGCACATGCCTCTAATCCCAGCTACTTGGGAGACTGAGGCAGGAGAATCGCTTGAACCCAGGAGGCAGAGAGCCAAGATTGCACCATTGCACTCCAATCTGGGCAACAAGAGTGAAACTCAATCTCAAAAAAAAGACTCAGGCCAGTACTTTTGCACTCTCATTCAGAATAAAACTTTTCGGATATTCTCAATCAAAAGTTATCGCCAATGGGCTTAAGTACCCATGTTTTTATCCGGCGCACCCCCCCCCACTGCAGTAATTCTCACGATGAAGACCAGCCCCCCTGAAACACTAAGCAGTGGCAGGTATTCCTTAGGGTAACGCCAGCACAGACACAACTCCCTGCACTTCACCTGTTCTGTACACAGGTGAGTTAGCATGGTCCAGGGCAGCAAGAACAGCACCTGGCAGTCACATGAGGAAGCAAGTCCCAGGTCTGCCTTGAATTGGATGTGTCAAATTCGACTTCGCCCGAGACTGCTTTAGAGACGGTGTTTCTCGGGAAATGAGTATTGACCCTCCACTCTAAGTACATGAAGGGGATAGTATTAAATTATGGTAAGATTTTATTTTGGGGAATATTCTTGTCTTTCTATAAAGGAAGAATGAGACCTTATGTTGTATGGCCATACTGTTAACTAGCCTGAGTTCACAAGGCAGATTATTGTGCCCTTTTACAGATGAAAGCTTCAGGCTCCAAGATGCCCAATAAGAGCTGCATTGAGACCCTTGGGTGGGGCTGCTGTCAGCAGCTTGCAGAGTGTGGGTCATCTGATCAGGTGCAGGCTTCTGGGGCGATGCTCTTGGAGCTCCTGAGAGCTTTGTTTGCTTATGCATTGTTGCTCTGTTTCGAACTGCAGGCAACTGAACTCATATTATTAAGGAACTGTTTTCTAGACAAGAATGAAGATCACAGGCATATTTTAGTATTCTAGAAAATGAAGTGCATTGCCTTCGGTCAAGATCACTTAAGTCCAGGCTTGCAATGCTGGGAGCCAACAGCTGGTCCAATCATTTAATCACTTGGGTCCTCCTTCCTCACTGGAAAATGAGAGTTGACTTCTAGCTTTGATATTTTAGGTTTTTATATACATCCTCTGAAGAAATTAATATATTTACTAGCCTGGTTGATTTTATAAGCCATTATTCCTCTGCATAATTTGCAAATTACTAACAAAATCGTCATCACTCTTTACCAGTTACCTAGCATATACATTAAAGACTTCGATCCTGTATCCATAAAAAAGCCAACAAATTTATTTCCTCAATTTAATAGCTCCTGTTGGAAAACGTTCTGAAAATATCTCTTTAAGCTCTGCCAACTGACCTCAGCAACCCTGTGGGAGACAGGCAGAGGCTGGGTTATTTTTTTACCACCTTCCTTTTAGATGTGAGGAAACGAAGGCTCAGAGAAGCTAAGAGACTTGTCCGTCACATGAACCTGTAAGTGGCAGAACCAGGATGGAGACCTTGGTTTCATTCAGGGATGGGATAGCACAGCTCCCATTCCACACCTCGCTTGTAAAGGAGCCCAGGCCTCTCAGGGAACAGACCGCACACAGGAACTCAGCAGTCATGTCACCTGTGATCCCTGGGCATAGTTACTAATAAAGAATTCTAAATAAAGACCCAACCACCCACAGGGACAGAAGCGAGTAAGGGCTAAGGGCCCATAGGAATGGAAACAGTGTGAGGTCACAGGCAGAGCTCCCAGGATGCTTTGCACCAGGTTGTGAACATACATTACCTGGAGCTGGTAGGGGGGCTGGCATTGTGGCTCATGGGGAGCATGCTGGGATGGGCAGGCATTCCGAGGCTGGACCAGTTGTCATGGGATTGCAGCATGGATAAACATGCAGGTGAATTGTCAGAATAGGCTAAGAGGGAAGGTAAGAAAGGGCAGTTATAGATGATGTCTTCCAAGAACAACAAAGTACAGTGAAATACCACAAAAATAACGGAAGCTACTGCCACTGAAACAAGATGTAATGGGATATCAACCACAGAAAACAATCCATGAGTCTGCATGAGTGGTTATCAGGGGCGAAGACTTACTGCCAAATGTATACATTTGAGAACATACCCTGGGAAAGCCAAGCTTTTCCCCTTGTCATGAGATCAGTAGATGTCCTGTAGTCGATGATTCTTACTTGACTTGTGATTGCTTATCTTTAAAAACAAATATAACTTTAACCTGCCTTTTTTCCAGTGATTGCTTCTTAAGAATGGGCGATAGAAACCATTTCTCCTCAGGCAAAATTAGAAGTAAGATCTTCCTGCCTCAGAGTCTAGCCTCTGGTTGAAGAAGTCCCAGTGACTTCCTAACCCAGTAAGGTCCTTTCATTTCAAATCAGCTTTAATTGCTTAATTGTTTTATGGTGTTCTTTGGCGATTTTCCTTCTTTTGGAGCCAGACAAAATTAAGTCTAGACATATACAGTGTTACAGAGAGAATGAGGCCCAGGGATCTTTACGGTCTATCCCAGGGTTGGGAACATTGGAGCAGCATCAGCACTGCCCGGAGGGCTTTTTAAAAGACATGTTGCTGGGCCCCACAGAGAAGTGCTGCCTGTCAGTCTGGGGTGGGGCCTGGAAATGCGCCCTCTCTCGTGGTGCTGAGGCTCTGGCCTGGGCACCCTACTTGGAGAATCACTGGTCTAGTCAGGAATTCTTGTGCCTGGCTGCTTCACTGTCACTTCAGAGACGGCCACAGAAGACGCAAACCTGGTCTCTGCTCCTAAGGATCAACTGTGGTTCTATGGAGGGGCCCAGGAATTCATCATTTTCAAAACCTGGAGCACCAACTCTAAGGCCCGTGCGAGAATGCAGGCCTCTGCTCTGGGTCTCTGTGGCTGACCCAGCAGTGGCAGCCACAGAGACATACACTGAAGGTCTTCTCTTGAACCACTAAAAAACTGGGCTTGGGTGTGGGTGCCAGGGAACCATCTTTTTTTTAGATTCTGAACCCTGCAAAATGCCTTTCCCCAAGTGTCCTTGCAGCCACCCACCAACCTCTGGCAGATTGACGCTTCAGACTCACTTGGAGAATTGTTCCGATGAGTGTAGGGGCTGGGGTAGGGCGAGGACCGGTGGCTCCTCAGGGCCGGGTACCTGTCACAGCCGTGCGTGGAGGGGAGGGAGAGGGCACCTCCAAACTGAGGATGAGGATTTGCAGGTGGACACAGGGTGCTGGTTCCAGGAAGAAGCCACCCCCCTGCTGTGAGAAAAGAGTGCTGAGTAATCCCTCCATCACCACGGAGAGCAGAGCAGAGGCCAGGGATCTCCCACCTTCCCCTCGGGAGTCCCTAACACAGTCCACCTCACAAGGCATCTGAGGCCATCAGTTCCTCCTCTCTTACCACATTTAACCCAAGGCTTTCAATCCTGAGTAAACCCAGGAACCTGGCCTCAGGCAACCCAAGCTGCTTCCTCCTGAGAATCCTCTAGATCACTCTCGAGATTAATATTCACCAAGGCAAGTCACCTTTCCTCTGCCGAGCATGAATACAATGTGACCAGAGGCAGAAAGAGAGGTGGGGTGGTGCTTAGACAGGGTGCCCTCCCCTTCTCCTCCTCTAAGACTCAGGAGCTGCCACCCACAGAGACTCAGGAGCTACGTTCCTAGCTGGGGGTGAAGGAGGTGGAGTCGTTTACTGCTCTTCAGGTTTAGGCTCCCCCCACTCTCCCCAGGAGAATCAGAAGATGCTTCCAAGACTGCCCTTCCTTCCTCTAAAACTACAATTTCTTCTCCATTCCTTTTTTTTCCTTGGAGAGTCTTGCTCTACTGCCTAGCCTTGAGTGCAGTTGTGCAATCTCAGCTCATTGCGATCTCCACTTACCAGGTTCAAGTGATTTTTACGCCTCAGCCTCCTGTGCAGCAGGGATTACAGGTGCCCACCATCAAACCTGGCTAATTTTTGTATTTTTAGTAGAGATGGGCTTTCACCGTGTTGGTCAGGCTGGTCTTGAACTCCCTGACCTCAGATGATTCATCCAACTGGGCCTCCCAAAGTGCTGGGATTACAGGCATGAGCCACTGTGCCAACCGCTTCTATACTGTTTAAGGTTTCTTGATGTGATTCAGCAACCCCAAGTGTAATGACTACTCTGGCTTTAATTTCCAAACTACCAACAATTCTCCAGGCGGCACTGAAAGGAAGGCAGCGGACTTGCCCTCACCGCCCAGCCGGTCCTGGCCAGAGTACTGGCTCAGTCTACTCAGGTCATTACCCTCCTGCTTGTTCCATCAGCCTAGGAAATGATGAAAAACATAAACACCTGTGAGAGGAGGCGTGTGCCCTGCTCGTTCACCAGCCTCATGACCAGCCAGCAGCACCATGCCCATTGTTTAACATCTCCAAGTCCCTTTCCCAGAAGGAGAGGACCCATTAGGGGTCAGACAGAGCCCTTTCTCCCAACAGATGCTGCTATGTAATCCTCTATCCTGACTCCTGAACTCCTACAGGGAGCTAGACTTAAAGGCAGCTCTCCCATCCTCAGAGCCACTGTTGCCACCAAAACCAGCAGGAACCAGTGAGTCATCCCTAGAAGCAAAGGGCTAAGGAAAAATTTCGTTCCTATGCATCACTGGAAAGATGGCTCTTCAACCATTTACGAAAGCCTCACAGAGGATGTAATGAGCTAGATTCTCCTATTGCCTGATACAGGAGAGAGTCTGAACACTCAGCTAGGTCTCAGTGATCCACCCCAGGCATGGTGGCAGCTGCCTCAGCGCAAAACAAAAGCACCCAGGAGAGTATCCACAGCCCCGATTAGAGCAGAGGTTAGATGGGCAACACAGCTTCAACATCACAAGGCCAAGACCTTGCACTGGGATGTAAGAAAGGCAACCTTACATCCCAGATGCACCCAGAAGCCCCCTTGTCTCCTCCACCTCCACCTCCCAGCTTGCGGTAAGTCTAGTCCCAGTGACGCGGAATGACATGACGGAGTGCAACAAACCGTACATTGGGAGTACCCAGGCTGCTGGCCGTCTCCGGGTTCCTCCATCATCTCTTTGTGATCACTTCTATCAAAAAAAAAAAAAAAAAAAAAGTGCATCGAATTGTCAGAAAGGAGGAAATTCAGAAAAGTGTTCAGCAATATTTCATCTTTCTGCATACTTCTTTGCCCAAGGGCATTTATAGTTAGAATTGTCTCACCTTTCCTTTGCATCAAGGAAAGCTTTTGCAAATGGATTGTACTTAATTTTAAGAGCTGTGATCTGAAAAACAAGAAATTGCATTTACTAGTGTATTGCCTATTAGTCAGTGGATTTAATTTGGCACCAAGAAAGTGAGAAGCACCAGTACCACTTTTAAATATTCAAATATAGTCAGACTTCCTTCCACACACAGCTTTCTATTTGGAACTGAAATAGCCGAGCAACTGTAAACAGTAGTGCGTTTATGAAAAATGTTCAATGCCAATGTTCTGAGCGGGATTCACAACAAATTTAACCTGCCACTATGTTCCACGTATATAAATCAGAAATGGCTGAAAATGCAAGCCAGGGCTTCGTAGGAAGGCGTGATCTGATAGTCCTGGTTTGTGGTCCACACTAACAATGCATCCACCTCATCCTGAATTTTCAGTGCTTTGGGGTTGGGCTTACGCATGGACTGACAGGCACTTTTGCAGTAGCTGGTACCTAGCTGAGTCTTCACACTGTAGAGATTTCAGGGGTTGCCCCCCACCCTTAGAGGAAGATTTCCAAGTAAGGACAAGCTGCTGTCTCACTCAAGTATTGTTCTCAAGAAATTCTCACACCATTTAACCTGAATGCTATCTTTTCATTTTGAGCAGATATTTCCAGTTTTAGACACTTTTATGGAGAATTCAAGGGGAGAATGTTTCAGTGGGGACTTATTTTATACAGCCCTCCCCTGTGCCTCCATTTCAAACCCCAGAAAATTATTTGAAAGGGCAGGAAGCCTTCCTCTCAGTGCGGTTGGCACCTCTCCCCACTCCCGGAGGAGCCGCACACCGGGAAAGCACCCGCCTCTGTCCTTCTCACCTCCTCGTTCTGATAAGCAGTCACCGCTATGAACTGGGTCTCGGGGAAGCAATGGCTGGTGATCATGCGCTGTGGACCCCCAACTCTCACTATGTGAATTCGAGGCTCGTACTTATGCAAGGAGTTCAGCATGATCTGAGGGAGACAGATACAGGATTGGTGGCACTGAAAGTCCTGTGTTAAAACAGCAAAACATCCATTTCTCCAGAAGGCAGAAAGTCCTCTGGCTCCCAAGAAAGTGCCTCTACTGTTGAGGGAAATGGGGCTCCGCCAGAGGCTTCTCCGTGGTTTATAGGTGCTTCTCCCACAGCCTGTATGGAAAAGGGATGTGAGATACTACACAGCATTAAAAGCAATGAATGCTCATCACAAATCCTTTCACCTAGTGAAATAAAGTACTAAGGCTTCCAAGAAGGCTATAGACATTTTTTAAAGCCTGGGCTTGTTTGCAACTTGCCTAACCTGGAGTCTTCCAGGAACAATCCCCTACTAAAGAATGTCTTTTAGAAAAGCACGACTTTACAAGTTTGTTGAGACTTCACGCAGTAAGTACTGTGGAGCATGTGTAACTTTAGATGCGACTTTGTCATCAAGGCTGATAACTTTCTTCACCCCTAGGAGAGTTTAGGGCTAGACACAGAAGTTCCCCGAAGTTCTAGACCTTCAAAGGGGAGTGCTCCCGCTCGTGGATGTTATCAGCTTAGTATAAACAGCCCTAAAGGCGTAATTAGAGAAGGCTGTGGCAGCTTCTCCTGGGCAGACGTCACCTCCAGTCCAAGCAGCGTCTCTTCCCACAGCTCCCGGGCAGAAGGCGCAGCGCGGCCCCTCCCCGCTTGTCCCAGGCCTGGCGGGCTCCGCACACCTACCTGGCCCCCTCCGTTGAGCTTGTTGGTGAGCTTGACTTTGCTGAAGGAGACCGGAGCCTTCATCCAGTGGGCCCCAAAGTTGGGCGAGTCGGGGTGGATGTAGACGCAGCTGGGCGCCTGCGGCTCGGGCTTGCCCCCGGGCACCCACTCCCCGTTCACGTACTTCCAGCGGTGGTTGTCGGCCGCCACAAAGTCCAGCAGGAAGGAGTACATGGCGTTGGGGTCCAGCCCAGACACGTTCACCTTCAACACCGGGAACATCCTCCTGGAAAACACGGGGCGGGCGCAGGAGGACCCCGACTCTGACCGGGTAGGCCGGAGGTCAAGCTGGGCACAGAGGCCTCTGTTATTTCGGGGAACAGAGAAGCCCCCTGGGGAATGTCCAAGGGTGACTCCCAGGCTCCCCCTTCCTCGAGCCCTACCAGGTCCGGGTGGCCGCCGCACCATCTCCACGGTCTCGGGAGGCAGGGGCGGAGAGGACCTGACGAAGGGATTCAGTGCCGGAGGCCACATCCCGCGGGGACAGGCAGGGGCCGGGGCGCGCCTCGTGGGTCCCGGGATGCCTCCAAGGTCGAAACCCTGGGGTGCGCGTTCCTCCTCCCCAAGCTTCCGCGGAGAAAGCCTCAGAAGAGAGGCTTGTAGAAATCCACTCGAGGGCGTTGACCAGAGCGGGAACAAACACAAAGCCCTCCTCCAGAAGAAAAAGGGTTCTATCTGCAGGACCTTGCCAGGTCCCCAGGCTGCCCGGGCGCTGGAGAGCGCGGCGCACGCGGGCTCCGGGCGCGCACCCACCTGCCGTTCTTGGTCACGATCATCTCGTTGGTGAGCTCCTTGAAGCGCAGCCACAGCTCGCTCTCCTCCAGGCCTACGCGCAGCTCGCGCTCCGTGGGGTCGCCCTTCTCGCTGCCCGCCTGCAGCTCGCTCTCCACCGCGCTCAGCAGGTGGTCCACTCGGTACTGTAGGCTCTTCCCCGCGCTCTCGGTGCCGGGGGAGCTCATCCTCCCGTCCGCCCCTGGTCCCCGCCGTCCCCGAAGCCCAGATTCGCTACCTGAGAGCCACCTTCCCCCGTTTCGGCCGCCGCCCTTCCGAGAAAAGGGGCCCCTCGGACAGAGACCTGCGACGGCTCCGGGGTCCGGCACAGACCCAGGAGGAGGGCGCGGACCGAGACTCGGTGGGGAGGGGACCGGGGAGAGGGGTGGGAAGAGGTTATTCCACTTGAACTCCCCAAGGCGCTACTAGAGTAGGTCTCTGGGGACCGAAATTCGGTGCCCTCCCCATAAATACAGCCTTGGCGGCGCCGCTGGGGGACCCGGCGGATTGGGCCGCGCTCGCTTTGAAGTGCTGGGCAGCCGCCCATTGGCCAAGAGCGGCCATATCAGACCGGGCCGGGCGGGTCTGGGAGGCCCCGGGCCAACAATGGGCTCCCGCGCTCCTGTTTCCTGTAAATCCTGGGCCCCAGCCCGCCCAGCCCCGGCCCAGCCCCTACACCCCCGCCCTCCCCCAAATGTTTGCACCTCCATCAAAGCGGCAGGACTGGCCCCGGAGGAAGGAGGAGCTGGACGCCCCGGCCCACCCCAACGCGCACCTCCGCGAGGGGGCTGCCCGGCCGCGGGAGATGCTCCCCGACTCCCGCGCACTGGGTCCTCCTCGCTGTTCAGCGCGCGGGGATCCCGCAGCCGCGCCAGTCTGGAACGTCCGCGCGGCCTCATCTGTCCCAGCTCGAGGCGCGCGCGCCTCCCTCCCCTCCCAGGGACCATCGCACTCTGCTGGGCTTTGGGACGCGCGGCGCTCGACTCGCCTCAGTCGTGCGGGTCTCGTGCCTCAGACGCCTCAACGCTTCATTCTGGCAGTTTCCAGTGCACCAGTCGCCACACGTCCCTCGCCACGGAGCTCCAGGCGGCGTCGCGGACACCTAGGATCGTGGATCAGGCCGCCCCGGCGTCGGGTGTCCCCTCGGCTCTCACCATCTGGAAAAGGAAGCTCCGCGTGCAGAGAGGGAAATGGACGGAAATAAGCAATAGCAAAAAGACCCCTTCTAGGAAGCGTCGGACTTGATGCCGAAGTCTGCGCGTGCACCGAGGGTGCCAGGCGTGTGCATGGCTTCTGCTGTGTCATTGCTTCCGCAGAAGGTGGGAGTGGGACCGGGCTGGCGGGGCTCAGGGCGCTTTCCCCGCCCGGCAGCAGCGCCAAGCGGTGTCGGCAGCGGTGGTTTTATTACCTTTCGGTGAGAACTTCCGCGAGGAGAGCGAAGGAGAGGTGACAATGAGCAGGAAATAGTTCAGTGGGGTCTCTTTAAACAGTAACAATCCTCCTAAAACGGGAGCCCAGGAAGGGGGAAGGAGGCCGAAGCTCCCCAGTCTAGGGCCTGGCTTTGCGCTTCTGCACACCTCGCCCATTCGCTGGACGAGGGCCTGGGGTTGCAGCCTCAGTTTCCCGGTCTCCTTGGAGCGCACTACACCCCCACACCTCTGGAGAAAGCCAGTGCATAGGGTGGGGCAGCGGGTTAAGGGCAGCCTTGCGCCGTAGCACGCGAGTGTGCCCGCGGACCTGGTATCTTCGACCCGCGCTGAGTTTCCCTGCCCCCTGCTTGCTCCGGGGTCCGGAATTGCTTGTGAAGCCGCCGGAGGGATCCCCGCTCGGGGATCGAGGGGTCCATCCGCCTTGCGGTGTGGGGAGGGCTCCCAGCAGCCAGTCCTGGGGGAGGGTGCCTGCCGCCCGGGGCACAGAGCTCCTTCACACGTCTCTCTGGCTGCCACCGACGACTCCGGAAGCCGGGGCGTCTGGTCCCGGTCCGCGTTTCTTAGAGTCTTTTGTTTGGGCTGCAAGGTAATTCCCAGGTGGCTGACTCAAAGGGGGACGTTTCCTTCTGGAAAGAGGCACAAAAGGACCTCATTTGCTCCTGACGCCGGACCCTCCTGACGCGCCTTCACCGGCCAGTCGGGCCCTGAGCTTTCGGGGAGAGCTTGGTGCACGTCACTCTCCTTACTCCGGGAATCAAACTCTAAGAGGTAGTCACCGTGACCCGAGGCCTCCTGAGGATAGGGAAAAGTGGAGGGGAGGTGGAGGAGGAACGGGGGTGGGTCCCAGGCAGTTGAGGGCCTCGGAACCCCAGGCACTAGAGCGAAACCTCTCCTGCGGCTTCGGGGCGAAGGAATCCCGGATCCCTCACGTGAGCTCCGACTGCCTTGTGGCCGCGTTCCCACAGTCGGAAAGCGCCAAGGAAGACCGGAGGGTTTAACGGATCGCTCTAAAACTGTTCCGAACAGGAGCGGCACGGCCAAATAAGAGTAAGACTCCCTCGGGAAATAATATTCCATTTCTAACATGCACAATAAAATTTCTGCTCTCCAGAGAGAATGTCCGCAGCATCGACGAGGAAATTGGCCCAGGAACTGAGCCACACACGTTGGGGGAGGCAGAGGTTGGAAGTCGCCGACTTTAGCCACAAGTTGTGTAGTGTTACCTGCCTTCACTTTCTAACGATTACTTTTCCTCCGCTTTCTGTGGCTGATTTTCTGATCTTCGTTCCTCGGTTCTCAGGACCAGGCCCACTCCCTCCGCCTTTTCAGCGAAGGCTGCAGTGCATGACAGTTTACAGCCAAAAACTTCCTCCAGCCTGGCTATAAAGAATTCCCACTTAATAACAACGCGCTTCCTTGGGAGGAAAGAGGGGCTAAGGCACCGCCAGCTGCTTGGCTCCAAGGTCTAGCTCTCCTTGGGAAGACCAGCCTTCAAGAGAAAGCCTTAAGGCTGGGCCTCAGGATGCAACTGTCCCCCCCCAAAACATGCTTGAAACATTTATAAGAAAAAACACGCGTAGGCCCCACTCAACTCCCAGAGGCAGTTTTCCCCGGCTCAATCCCTTCCAAAAAAGCAAAGCCTTTTATCTTTAAGAGCAGGCAACAATGAAGCTGTAACAGGCTTCAGGAGGAGGGGCCAAGGGCAGCCTCGTGTGACTCTTGCCCCACACTCTAGTCCCTTCTTCTGCAAGAAAAAATGGATTTCTTTTCTGATTATGTGTGTGCTCCTTGTAGAAATATTATATATGTGTCTGTCTTCATGCATATGTAATACTGTCACCCTCAGTTTCCATGGGGGATTGGCAAAGATGTCAAAATCCAGGGGTGCCCTGGTCCCTTGGAGTGATATTTGCATATAACCTATGGACTTTCTCCATGAACTTGAAATCACTTCTAGATTACTTATAATACCTAATACAATGTAAATGCTATGCAAATAGTAGTTATACTCTGTTGTTTTTTATTTGCATGATTTTTATGGTTTTATTATTTGGAGGAGGCGATTTGGAATGTTTTCTATCAATTCAGCCAACCACAGATATGGAAGCTGTGGCTGTGGAGGGCTGGCTGCAGATGTGTCTTTCTATATGTACACAAATGCTAACCTCAAGCACTAAGCAATGTGCATGTTTGGGGTGTTTTCCTCAACTTTCTTTCATTTCGTTCTTCCCATGAGCTCCTTCTCCCACACTGAATAAGCAGGCTTGATGCAAACATTCACAGCGTCTGCATTAGCGATAACAGCGGTGTCTCATGGCCAATAATTCTGCCACCAGTTGGTTTATTTGTCTCTCCTATTAAAAGAAACCCCCAGTGTCTTTTGTTTTTGCTTTGAAAGGTGGATAACATTAATTCTTTAGACCCTTTACCACTGAAAATTTTTTAAAGGCCATCGGGTTGTTTGGGTGGCTGTGGTTTTGTGGGAAAGAACAGAGACTTGGTGTTTTAAAGTCTTCCTCTCAGGACAGTGGGCCCACCCTGTGCACAGCCGGCCCCTCCCTGCTACTTGGAGAAGGCGCCCTGATGTGCTCCCTGAACTGCAGGGAGGCTGCGGGGTTGACGCAGAGTTGATAGCCCAGTCTGCATCTCAAAATCAGATCCCATCCATGCAATTTTGTCAAAGTCAGTGGGCTTTGTCACATATGACAATGTGTGGTTGTTTCAGTGACAGGAGTTCACACATTAAAAACAAACCAACCTGGCCGGTTGAATGTTTGCGAATGTGACAGTCCCAAACATTTCTCCTTAAAACTCTAGCGCTTCAGCTCTGTGTCTTTGGAATTCAAGGTTCCAGAGAAGTCAGTGGGCTGCTGCATTTTGACCTCTTCCTCGGTAGGGAAGGGTAGCTTGAGTTTTTCTGCCTGGATACTTAATTTTTTCAATCCCTGGTGGTTGATAAGTTTCTTGTCGATATGTTTCAGTGGGAATCTTTTACCGATTTTGCTTGGCCTATAGGGAAAGCCCTTTCCAACTAAAGTCTCTTCAGTTCTGATTGGTATGAGGGCATGTACTGTTTCCACCTCAGGGCTTATCCGTACTTCAAAATCTGAGGACCCTTGTCTATTCTCCCGCCTCCTCCCCTCCCCCACCGAGTTGTTTCAGCTCTTAGATCTTTCTGCATATATTAAACGGCTTGTGAAATGTTTTTTCCACACCACTCTGTCAATTTGCCTCCATGTCACTTTTGGTTTTTACTGCCTCCAATGCAGCTTTTACTTCTCTGTTGTGGCCTCAGTTTTCTGGTTGTCCCTTGTCATCTCCGTGTCCCTTCCATTGCCTTCTGGAGCAGGCTTTTTGCTCCTTCAAGTCCTGTTTCTGTTTCTCAGAGGCCACAGTTTTCTGCAACTTCTGGTGCCCGTGGCTAATTTTTTCCCAAGGCTGTTTCTCCTCTGTGTCTTATGAATATTCCCTCTCCCCCGCTTCTCTTTTGGCTCTTTCTGGGAGTCTCCCCCATATTTTCTTCTCCTTCTTCCTTCTCTGATATGGGGGTGACTGCCCAGCATGTCTCCTGCTGGGCTGCACTCTCAGGGGCCCTGGAAGGACGCCCCTTTCACAGATACGTTGGGAAGACAGACGTGTGGGGCCTGCCCAATTCACTGTGAAACCAGCCCTCGACGCATGGCAGGGACTCAGCAGGTCTTCACTGGGTGGTTGCATTGGCAACATCGAAATGCAGTAACACGTCTATCTAAGAAGCATTAGCACTGTACTCAAAGCCACTGGGCATTGCCACTGAGCATTTTAATCAGGAGCAAAACAGCCATCCTTCACATTGACTAAAATGCAGGATGCCTCCAAAACTCCACAGGCCTTTCTGTAATAACTCGCTTATT